GCTGGATCCGAAATCTACTTCTTGAGCTGCAGCAACCCCTTCGGCGAGCCACCCTTGTTTTTTGTGACAACGTCAGTGCTGTGTATCTCTCGACAAATCCTGTGCAGCACCAGCGCACCAAGCACGTGGAAGTTGATATTCACTTTGTCCGTGACAAAGTAGCACTTGGTCATGTGCGCGTCCTCCACGTTCCCTCGTCTTCGCAGTATGCTGACATCTTCACTAAGGGACTGCCTTCTTTATTATTTCTGGACTTCAGACAAAGCTTGGGAATCAGACCTCCTCCACATCCGACGTAGCCGGGAGCATGTTAAATATATTGTATATATTTAATATATTGTATTATTCCCTTACCTAATTTGTATAGGTTTCCTTACTTGTGTCTCTCCTACCTTGTTTAGGATTGAGACTCCTCTTATATATATACATGTAATCACAACTCTTTTGATCAATGAAAATCATAATTCTTCAATTATAGCCGTTAAGGGGGGAGGGGAAAGGAATGACGCAGCGTCATTCCTTTGACGCACGCCCCTTTAACGCCGGAAAGGGGCGGTGTTTCACGCCTCCGGGGCGTTAAACGCCCGTTAACGTCGGCGGGCGTGATTAGTATTACCAGTGCTCTTATTGATTTTGAGACAAAAGTAGTACTGTAATTTTTACTCCGTAATAGATTTATAAGTTAAACATCATTATTTCTACACTCCGTAGATAGCATTTGTAAAGCGTTAAAATTAAATGTTAGTAAAACTTCTAGCAAACAAGTCCTAATTTTTAGTAAAGTCATGATTCGAATATAAAATTGTGATGAAATTATATAAAGTGTTTTTACCTAACAATTTATTGGTCTTAATTCGAATTACACTTTGTCGTAATAAATTGAAAAGAACAATCTTTGTTTCAAAAGAAAATAAAATAACAACATTAGCATATTGCAAAAAAAAGAAATTCTTTATCAAATCATCACGTTTTGGGTACTTTTTTTAGAAAAAAGTAAATTGATATTATTAAAGCAAATCGTAAATAAGTATTCCGTACAATAGAAATCAAAGAGAAGACTTATTATCTCTAATCTTTTGACAAAAGAGAAAATAAGTAAATGCAAAAGCACTAAAAGGTGCTTTACTATCTTAAATTATAAAATGTAAGGCATTTTGGTATTAAAAGCACACACAAATGTTTGATGCACAATGTGGTACTATATTTGTCTAGTTTTGAATTTTCCTAGTCAATTACTTTTAACATTTGATGTATAATTATATAAAATGTATATTACTACATATTAATAAGATAAAAATAATATCTTGAAAAAACTGTATAAAATAAATTTAATAAAAATATTTTTGTTCTAATATCTGATATTATTTTTATTTAGGTCAAATTTTTTTAATTTTAACCAAAAAAAATAGTACTCCGTAGTATGCAAATATTCAAAGAATGAAGGGGTACACACTAACACTGTGTTTGGTTCAAGGAATTTGGAAGGAAAAGAAAAGAAAATGATTTTCTCTCATTTTCCTCACCAAAATGGGAGGAATTTGGTTTTTCCTCCACTTGGTACATTTTGCCTTCTCATTTTCTTTTTCTTCCACTTTTCTTTTCCCCTATAACCAAACATGAAAAACTATTTTCCACTTTATTTTCTTTTCTTTTTCCTTTCAAATTTCTTGAACCAAACATAATGTAAAGGCTAAATTCATAAACAAAGTGTGTAAAAAAGTTCGGGCCAAATTGGATAGGTTGAATGCGAACGCATGCCCATAACAGATTAGGCCCAATTAATCTTGGTGCTCTCTGACTATATAATCATAGCCTGGGCTACCCAAATGTATGGCCAGATGCGCAATAATAACATGATCTGCTATTACTAGCTTTGCCAAGGTTTTGTCATTATGATCACTTATTATGTTTTCGAAAATTGAATTTAAATTCTACTCCGTATTGCGGAGTACTTGGTAGTTTATTTTTTAAAAAAAATGGAACGAAATAAATTACAGCATAATCTTAATCTAAAAAGACTAAAGTGAGACTTGAGTAAGATTAATCATATAATATTTTTCCCCTCTCAAAATAAGGGTCTTGTTTGATTTTATGATGTTTAAATTATTGATAGAAGTAAAATTTGGCGTAGAATTAAAAAATAAAAATTAAATATTAAAAAACTATATCAAAAGTCTTATAAAACAGTAGTGACAATGATATATTATTTAATCAAATGATCGATGAAAATGTATAAGAAAGTAAAGTTAGTTTGATATAAGATTAATAATTAAAAATCTTTTTTGGGACGAAATAAGTTTATACATAAATAGTTATCTTATTAACACGAGCATTGCTAGAATCACAAACAAAATGATCAAGATGTTTGCAAGTTTACCATTTATAGTTTAAATTCTCATTTTAAAATTATTTTTAGACTACTTCAGTTTTTATTGAAGTTTACAAATAGTAAGTTTGTAA